ATATACATTTATTAGGGTAACGTCTTCTCCTTTGATGTTGAGTTCTATTTTTGTCCACCTGCCTTCTGTCCGGTCTGCCGTCATCGATTTGATCTGCAGGTGCTGCCCCTCTAGAGCATTCTTATGCACTACCGTCATTACTCCTGCTGATGCAGGTTGTGGACTGTACGCTATTACTTCGGCGGCGCAGTTTCTTATCCTTTTCATTAATTCCTTTTTTATATCTATGTGGGGTGATATGTTGGTTAAGTGTGTTTCCTGAAAGCACAGCACGTCTGAGGGGTGTGGTCCGTTCCAACCTGTCGTGTTTAGGAGACAATGCCACTTTTCCTGGTTTGAGAGGATTGTTGCCAGCCCCCTTACATTCCATAATTGAATCCACAGCTCCCCCCTGGCAGATGACATGTGTTACCGTTTCTTAGTTGTCAAGTGATGCTCACATTTTGGTTTCTAGGAACTGGAGCTAACCTCTGCCTCTCCCTCGAACGGGGAAAGCAACGTTGGGAGCTCCTCGGCTTCCCGTGCCATCGCCTCCGACTCCAAAAGTGAGGCTAAAACGACCACATTTTGCGCCATCTTTGAATCACTACCCAGCGCTGTGACAGGTAACTCCGTCAGCCACCACCAAGGCTTCCACATTAGTCCGTCCTGGATCTCAGTTTTGTGGTCCAGACAGATCAGTAGTGGACGTGTATCGTACTGGGGCTGATCCTTCCCCCCCTCCCCTTCCAATGTCTCTCCATGGACTGCGCCTCCTCCCCTTTGCAGCTCGCCTGGTAGGCCCATGAACACTGGTTCCCCCTCTTTGCTGATCTTTTTCAGCAGGTCCTCTCTTTTCTGCCCCAGCTGCCATCTAGGAACGGATAAGTCCTCATGGACTGCCACTTCCCACTGATTGGCCAATGAGTCTCTCCGAATGGGGATTACAGCCCTGGACAGCAAGAGTATACTTGCCTCTCTCCTAGCTCTAACCCAGAGTGTATCCTGGTCATTACATTGAATGTCCCGGACGGTCACCGTACGCAGGGCAGCTTCCTTATTCTGATCCGTCAGTCTTGCATTTTGTGCTTCCAACGCTTGAAGTTGGATGCCCAGCTGAGCAACAGTTGACAAGACCTTGCCAGCATCTTCTTGGCCTTTTCCCTTTCCCTGTTCCTCGAGGACGGAAGTTGGTTTGTATTTCTGCAACTGTCTCCCCTTGGGCATTTTGTTTTTCCTTTCTGTACTCACTCCTTCCCTCTCTCCCCCCTCCATTTCCTGATCTTCCTTGGCAGCACAGTATTTTTCTGCAAAATAGGTCGCCACCTCCTCCTCCTTTTCTAAGGGTGCAAATGGGTTCTCGGACAGTAGAATGTGCAGGGATGGGCTAGCCGCTTCTGCCTTAGTTTTGTTTTTTAGTTCCTCCTTCTGCAGTATTAGCTGCAGCTCGTAGTTGTCATCCCTTTGTTTTTCAAAAATCTCGATGTATTTCCTTAACTCATCCTCCTGCAGTCCCTCCCACGGATAGCCTTCCTCCAAGTCCCTCTCTTGTTCTTCGTCTACCGATTCCCTGTCTTTCTGCCCTTCTATGTGCTTCCTTTTGCCCCCCACTGCTGCTCCCGACAGTTCTTCATTTTCACCCAATGCTTGACCTGCGCCACCTTCCCCCATTGATTCATCAGTCCCTTCCATCTCCTTGACCTTGATCTGCTCGTGCACGCTCTGACCCCTTCTTCGTCTGCGCACGTAGGTTTTTTGCGCTTGACTCTCTTCTCTTTCTCTTTCCTCCCCCTGGTACTTCTTCACTGCTTCGACCCATCCCCTTTCGATATTCTCTTGTACTGACTGCAGATCGGCGCTGAGGTCCCTCTCCCAGATTTCCTGCTTCAACGTCTCAATGTTAATTACTGGGTCCCTTATAAAGCTTTTGGGAGATTTCTTTCCCGTGTTTAGCGTTTGCCATCTGCTTTCGTACGGGGGGTATACATCCGGTTTCGGTGTTGGTTCTCCTTGGATGGTCCATACCCAGTCCGGGGTATCCAGGTTGTCGTTGAACACCCAACCTGCATACTGAGCCTCCGGTATGTACCAGTAGCCCTTTTTGTCAGCTACTTCCTGTAGACTGGCCGTTTTCAGCACTTTTGGCTTGACTGTTTCTTTGGTCTTTGGGCAGCTTGCATCCGTCCCCAGATGTCCCCTTTGTCTGCATTTGAAGCATAAAGGGTTGTTTTTGCTGGAAACTGTGATCCTAATGACTTTGCCTTCCTGAGCGAAGAACCATTCATCTGGGATAAAAGGCAAAGTGTTGTTGCCCATTTCCAGCACCACTGTCATCTGGTTGTGCTAGGGGGTGAGGAAGTCCGGCGTTGATACTATCCAGTGAACCCCCTTACAATGTCCGAACTCCATTTTCACCCTTTCCTTGATGCAGCCGTGCATTCCTTCCGGAACGTTGTCGAACTGAATCCAAAAATGCTTTTTGATCAGATCCTGCCTATATCTGAACGGAGTTTGCTGGAAGTTCGCTGCTTGTTTCCACGGGTGTACTATAACTATTGAGGAGTTGCACGTGAAGCACTTGTTTTTCAGAAAGGAGGCAAGAGCTTCTTCCATGCACAGAACCATGATTACATTCCTAGATCTTGGGTGAAAGGAGACTTTCGGTTCTTGTCCCTGGATGGCTTCTAGACTCTTCAACTTTTCCCAAATCCACCTCAGTTTGGCCTGCCTATCCAGTTCCTGACTTCTTTTGGAAAAAGTGAAAAGGACTGCGTGCTTTTGGTGGAGCTCAGTTTGTTTGG